ATGACAAATTTTAAAGTATTTAATTACCATATTTCTACTGTGTGATTAATGCAGTAAGAGCTATTTTTGTATATTTTGACCTTTACTTTTGTAACTTTCATTGATTGAACATGCCATTTGCAATGAATATAAATGACCTCCTTTGTTCGCTTGACAATATTTAACTTTTGAATGCATTTTCAAAATTTTAATGAAAATTTGCATGAATTAGGAAGCATGCTGCTTTAAACATAAAGGGTATGCATATTGCAAGGTTGTGCTTTAGTTAATGGGGTCAAGTTATACTCTCACCCAATGGCAGCACAAAATATTAATTTATTCATTTAAAAGAATTTTAACTTTTGAAATTCTAGCATATTTTTTCAGATTGGAAAATTTCACGAAAACTTTTTTTTCCAAATTGGAAAAAAATAATTTCAACACAAATTTCCCAAATTTGCTATGTAGCGTTTTCCCAAATAAGAGGAAAAAAGGCCTGTCCATAATACACTGTAACTCTGGGAGTACTACAACTGCAGTCATGAATGCAAACTAATACACTAAGTAAATAAACATTGTTTTGTTTTCACATATTAAGTTATTTAAAGGAGGCATTTCCAGTTATGAAGTGTATATTATATATTTTACAGATTCTGCATTGAGAGAGTTTGCCAGGGTAACAAAATCACTAGGAGGTCTCATTGAGGATCTTGTATGTATTTATAGAGCATATTTGTAACATGTCTTTTCATTGGATAATCATGAAGATTAAACATTGTAACATGTCTTTTCATTGGATAATCATGAAGATTAAACATTGTAACATGTTTTTTCATTGGATAATCATGAAAATTAAACATTGTAACAACTCCTTTCATTGGATAGTTATGATAATTATGCATGTATTTGTTTATGAGGTAATTTTCATATTTTTTCCCTCTAAAAATGGGATTAAGCTTGGTTATAAATTTGTCACAAATACTTGACAGTTTTGTGGCTTGATATAATTCTTGCCTATCGGTTCAGGTTATATAAGCTTACTACCATTTTTACTGGGCCATAATTATATTAAGTGACTGATAATATACATATTATGTGAGCCTCTGGCGAGCATAATATTGTTTTATTTAACAAGTTCAATAAATTAAGTATTGAATCTACCAGAATATAATATTCGGTTGATCACTTATCTGAAATAAAAACGGTTTAATGTTTAATGTTTAATAGATTCATTTTTCATTGGCGCACCTACAGTGTAATGCTAACTTTAGTTCACTTTAATGCTATGTTTGTTTATAATGTAAATGATCTCTTGTGACAAGGGCCCATGGTTTATACAGAATCTGTTTTAGTTTGATTGTGCAGAAAGCTATAAGCTTAAAGACACATGTTTGAATCCGTTCCTTGAACCAACCAGTACTGAGCAATGAGTGTAAAGTTTCTTGCTCAAGGAAACAACGACTCGCCCCTGATGGGATTTGAACCAATGCGGCTAGTGATCATTAGATTACTAGTCTGACACGTTAACCACTCGACCATGCCGCCACTTAATATTTGTGCCATGGTTTATGTGTTAAAACTTTATTTATTTTAGTCAAAGAGTCTACATAACAGTTTACAGTTTCCTCTGGAATCTTTACTTAAAGGAGATATAAAAGGTGTTAAAGGTGATCTCAGAAAACCATTCGATAAGGCATGGAAAGATTATGAATCTAAATTGTAAGTTCTGTACCCTTCTTAATTTTAAATTATTTAAAGATGTACTATGCTCATCCTTGAGTAAAATATTTTAATTGTAGAAATTTATTGAAATTTATAAAATTCTTACTGAATATGTCTAATTTGAATAAAAAAATGAATAAACTATGTATGGGAAGCTCCGTTCCTTATTATTGTTCAAGTAAAGAAAAAATGAAACTGCCAGTTTTTAGCTCACCTGTCACAAAGTGATAGGGTGAGCTTTTGTGATCACTTTTCGTCCGGCGTCTGGCATCCGTCGTCCGTCCGTAAACTTTTACTTTAAATGACATCTCCTCATAAATCACTAAGCCAATTTCATCCAAACTTCACAGGAATGTTCCTTTGTTGGTCACCTTTAAAAATTGTTCAAAGAATTTAATTCAATGCAGAACTCTGGTTTTTTAAAAGAAGATATTTAAAGTTTTTTCTTTCGGTTGCCATAACCGAAAGAAAAAACTTTAAATATCTTCTTTTAAAAAACCATAAGAGCTAGAGCTTAGATATTTGGCATGAAACATCTTCTAGTGAGTGTCTACCAAGTTTGTTCAAATAAAAGCCCTGGGGTCAAAATTGGCCCCGCCCCGGGGGGTCATTGATTTTCCCTATATGCATATAGTAAAAACTTAAAAAAATCTTCTTTTAAAGAACCCAAAGAGCTAGAGCTAAGATATTTAGCATGAAACATGTTCTAATGGGTGTCTACAAAGTTTGTTCAAATAAAAGCCCTGGGGTCAAAATTGGCCCGGCCCCGGGGGGTCATTGATTTTCCCTATATGCATATAGTAAAAACTTAAAAAATCTTCTTTTAAAGAACTCAAAGAGCTATGGCTAAGATATTGAGCATCAAACATGTTCTAATGGGTGTCTACCAAGTTTGTTCAAATAAAAGCCCTGGGGTCAAAATTGGCCCCGCCCCAGGTGGTCATGGATTTTCCCTATATGCATATAGTAAAAACTTAAAAAATCATCTTTTAAAGAACCAAAAGAGTTAGAGCTAAGATATTTAGCATGAAACATGTTCTAATAAGAGTTTACCAAGTTTGTTCAAATAAAAGCTTCGGGGTCAAAATTGGCCCCGCCCCGGGGGGGTCATTGATTTTCCCTATATGCATATAGTAAAAACTTAAAAAATCTTCTTTTAAAGAACTCAAAGAGCTAGAGCTAAGATATTTAGCATGAAACATGTTCTAATGGGTGTCTACCAAGTTTGTTCAAATAAAAGCCCTGGGGTCAAAATTGGCCCCGCCCCGGGGGGTCATTGATTTTCCCTATATGCATATAGTAAAAAAACTTTTAAAAAAATCTTCTTTAAAGAACTCAAAGAGCTATTGGCTAAGATATTGAGCATCAAACATGTTCTATAGGTGTCTACCAAGTTTGTTCAAATAAAAGCCCTGGGGTCAAAATTGGCCCCGCCCCAGGGGGTCATTGATTTTCCCTATATGCATATAGTAAAAACTTAAAAAATCTTCTTTTAAAGAACCAAAAGAGTTAGAGCTAAGATATTTAGCATGAAACATGTTTCTAATAAGTGTCTACCAAGTTTGGTTAGATAAAAGCCCCAGGGTGAAAATTGGCCCCGCCCCGGGGGGTCATTTATTTTCCCTATATGCATTTAGTAAAAACTTAAAAAATCATCTTTTAAAGAAGTCAAAGAGCTAGAGCTAAGATATTTAGCATGAAACATGTTCTAATGGGTGTTTACCAAGTTTGTTCAAATAAAAGCCCTGGGGTCAAAATTGGCCCCGCCCCGGGGGGTCATTGATTTTCCCTATATGCATATAGTAAAAACTTTAAAAAATCTTCTTTTAAAGAACTCAAAGAGCTATGGCTAAGATATTGAGCATCAAACATGTTCTAATAGGTGTCTACCAAGTTTGTTCAAATAAAAGCCCTGGGGTCAAAATTGGCCCCGCCCCGGGGGTCATTGATTCTCTTTATATGTGTATAGCCAAAACCTTAAAAAATCTTCTTTGAAAAAACCCAAATAGCTAGAGTTTAGATATTAAGCATGAAACATCTTCTAGTGAGTGTCTACAAAGTTTGTTCAAATAAAAGCCCTGGGGTCAAAACTGGCCAGGGCCCCAGGGATGTCATTGTTTTTAACTTTATGTGTATAGTAAAAACTTTAAAAAAATCTTCTTTTAAAAAGCCCAATGAGCTAGAGCTTAGATGTTTAGCATGAAACATCTTCTTATGGGTGTCTACCAAGTTTGTGCAAATAAAAGCCCTTGGGTTAAATTGGCCCTGCAACATTGGGGGTGGGGGTTAGGGGGGCCTATATACAGGTGAGCGACTTTAGGGCCATCATGGCCCTCTTGTTTTTTAATGACACAATATATTCATATTGTGACCACATACAGTGTAGAAGTTCAAACATAACATATCTACTTTGTATGAAGTCAAAACATGTTTACTGTAAAATCATTATAATTTGTGGCGCACAAATTTTCATGGTTTTCTTGGGTAGGTCAATCCAGGAATTTAAGATTAGACGAAATTTTATCCCAACAAATATTTCTTGCCATGTCTGTATTCTATTATTACAAACATGCATTGGCGCTTTTCCGCCGAAATGCCCAGAGGTAAGGATTAAATTTATTGACAAGCGCTGTGTGATACATAAAGATATGTACATGCGATTAGCAAAATGCGCAGCAATTAAGTGTAAGATTACTTTGCATTAGGTTATTTATTTATTTTTTTTACAAAAATTGAAAATCACGAATTTAAAAACCCACAAAAATGCCCGTTTTGGTAAAACCACGAAATTTCATGCCCACGAATATATGTGAATTTGCAGTATTTTATATTTACATAAAGACTGTGTATGTTAATCAATATTTTCTAAAATCAAATTTGAGCATCGTATAACTTTAAACATACATAAATGAGCAACGTCACGACAAAACCAACATAGTGTGTTTGCGACCAGCGGGGATCCTGCCCAGCCTGCGCATCCGGGCAGTCTAATCAGGATCCATGCTGTTCACTGTCAGTTTTTTCACTTGTAAAAGAGTTGGTAAGCGAACAGCATGGATCCTGATCAGACTGCGCGTATAAAATAAAAAAAACAATAAAATTATTAGTGACAAATTTTCATTAATTAATCAATGAGGTTGTCCCTGTAGCAGGAATGCCTCTACCATCAAATTGCAGGCAAAACCTTGCTGGTAGATATATCATCATTAGCTTACATACATTTTATATTTCTCTTTAGTTCCAAATTAGAAATAGACTATAAGTTAGATTTTCATCATTTTTAGCTCGACTTTTCTATGAAAAGGGGAGCTATCCTACTCGCCCCGGCGTCGGCGTTGGCGTCACACCTTGGTTAAGTTTTTCGTACCACCCCACTTTATTTCAGAAGTATTACAAGTATGGCTTTGAAACTTACCATACTTGTTCACCATCATAACCTCCATCTACAGACAAGAGTACATAACTCTGTCAAGGTTTTTGACAGAATTATGGCCCTTTTTTGACTTAGAAAGTGTATTGAGCTTGGTTAAGTTTTTTGTACCACCTCACTTTATTTCAAAACCCATTGGAGGTATTGCTTTGAAACTGACCATAACTTGTTTACCATCACGACCTTCATCAACAGACAAGAGGACATAACTCTGTCAAGGTTTTTGACAGAATTATGCCCCTTTTTGACTTAGAAAATACATTGAATATGGGTAAAATCCACTTATTGCCTTAACCCTTTGAGATATTGCTTTGAAACTTTTAATGCTATTTCACATCATTACCCCCATCTGTACGCAAGAGAAGGTAACTCTGTCGAGGATTTGTTTTAAAAATTAAGGCCTTTTATCGACTTAGAATCTTGGTTAAGTTTTTAGTACCAGTCCACTTTTTGACTGAACTGTTTGAGATATTAATTTGAAAGTTGGAATACTTGTTTACAATCATGATTCCCAAACATGTCCAGGAGAAGGTTTTTTTTTCTTTCTTACCAGCCCTCTTTTGACTTAAACATTTCAAACTTTGCTGCAGTGTTCAAGGGTATCACACAATTCAGTAAAATAATTCTTCACTAAATATCTTAATGCTCATGGCCATTGTTCACTTTAAAAATACAGAGATTCTTGTATTGCCTTTTACTGCAAAAACTTTTTTTATTGGCAAGCAATAAAAAAGTCGAGCGCGCTGTCTTACGGACAGCTCTTGTTAACATATGTTTTGTATTGTTCTTTAGTTCCAAATTAGAAAAAGACTATAAGAAGAAGTGGAATGAGGCTGGATTATATAGGACAGAGTTAACTGGCAGTGAAGTGTCCGAAGAAATGGAGAAAGAAAGAAAAATTTTCCAATTACAGTTGTGTAGTGTAAGTTTATTAGTCTATTTAAGTATCTGAAAAAAAATAATCCCTTGGAAGCATTAAATACTCGGGCAAATTAATGACAAAAATATCAAAATGATCTTATGTACTCAAAGCATGCTAAAATGACATTTTTAAAGTCCCAGCATGAATTTCTCTATAAATTCTACATATTTTTGGTTTTAAATGTAAATATATCTATATATGTTTAATGAAATTTAGATGCCGACTGAATCAGCGAGAAGTTTTAAAACAAGTCATGTGACTTGAACAAAGCCTGGAAGTTACAATAACAGATATTTTGGATATTGTGTGATTGAAACAAGTCTAAGTTGTTCCTTAATGTTTCACGTTGACAACTATTGTGAAAGTTTAACGCTTTAACCTGACCCACGCGGGTCAAGTTAAGAAACCACCATTCATTCTTTAAAAGGAGAAAAGTTTTGTTCCTGTTTTGTTCCTGTGACTGTCTAGTGTATTCATGTTGAGGAATTTACAGAATGATAATTGAAAAATTCAAAACAAAGAAATGAAAATTTTGCTCGTGTCTCCCTTTAAAATCAGCAAAATTACATGAAAATTGCAGACTTTGCAGATCATTGATTTCAAACCTCTCACGGCTGTGGGTTTGAATCCCGACAGGGACTTTGGATTCTTTCATGTCATTCTTTCACGAAAAAAACAATCACATGTAAAATTCAGCATGCAAAAAATAAATTTGGCTAATGATATGTACAAGCATTATTGATTGAAAGCTTAAGCATTACTGAAATTATAGAAATTGTGAAGTTTGTTGTTATTTCCTATATATTATTTTCATTATATTTGTTTGTATATTTTCAGTATTTGATTAAAGTAAATGAGATTAAGACAAAGAAAGGCGTTGATTTACTCAACTATCTCATAGAATATTACAAAGCTGTTAAACTGTAAGTATCCTTCTAATAGACCTGTATTATATTTAGTTAAAAAAGATTTTTGACAGGTTATATGCCGTATGTTGATAGTTGTTTAGAAATATAACCCGAGCATCTTTTTTTTAGAGAAAAAAAAGTGAGAACTCTCCTTAAATTGACAGCAGTTGTGTATATATAGCTTTATTAAAGTCACAACTTTTCCTGTAGTTTATATTTTAGTAAATTGAACATTTGAAATTAATTTTTTTTAAATATTAAATGTCAAGGTCTGTTATTTGAGAAGACATGGAAGTATAGATGAGTAAACACATCCTGATTTGACATCAAAATGTTCGCAAAATTTGCATATTATTTTGTGATGAGATTCTATATTTAGCCCATTTTCTGCTGCAACAGATAGTAATTAGACTTTGCCACTAGTAAAGAGTCAGGTCACCCTACACATCCATCCATGCAGTTGTACTAGGCTTTTATATTGTTGGCTAACTCCAAATTTTGCATCGTGATATCCCCCTAAGTTGATAATGGTTAGGTCCAAAAATAGAAACTAAGACATGTGTTTCAGATTTTCCTCCTATGATAATTATGAAAGTTATCTTTACTTCATTGAAGTATAAGAATACAAACAGGTGCTATGTCAAGTGTTTTAAAACTTTGTAGGTCAATGTCACGCTATTCAAGGATAATTTAAATAGTTTGTTCTACATATAATGTAAGGAGAAAATGTTTAGCGTGCTATGGAATACTTTGAGCACAGGTTTTAATACACTTTTCCTGATAAATAACTATTTTATTGGTCCTTGTTTTATAAAAAAATATGTACAAATGTACATGTATTCTAACTTATGGTGGTTTTTAGTCCCCTACCGGTTTACCGGAGGGGACTTTAGGTTTACCCTCCGTCTGTCCGTCTGTCCGTCCGTCCGTCTGTCTGTCAGTCCGTCCGTCCACAAAACTGGATCCCGCGATAACTTGAAAAGTACTGAAAATATTTTTATGAAACTTGGTATATGGATAGATGGCAGTATGGAGATTATGCACGTCTTTTTCTTTTCTTCCTATGTTGAAAATTCTGGTTGCTATGGCAACAAATAGGCTGAAAATATGGCAAATTTTACACATAAACTGGATCCAGTGATAAAGCAAAAAGTACTGGAAATATTTTTATGAAACTTGACATATGGGTAGATGGCAGTCTTGAGATTATGCACATCTTTTTATGTTCTTCCAATGTTGAAAATTCTGGTTGCTATGGCAACACATATACTGAAAATATGGCAAATTTTACACATAAACTGAATCCAGTGATAACTCAAAAAGTACTGGAAATATTTTTATGAAACTTGACATATGGGTAGATAGCAGTCTTGATATTATGCATGTCTTATCAGTTCTTCCTTTTTTGAAAAAATATCAGTTGCCTTGGCAACAAATAGGCTTAAAACATGGCAAATATAACAATATTTGTGATAAGTCAAAAAGAGCTGAAAATTTTTATGAAATTGCATCTTTAAGTCAAGAGTTATCTCCTATTTAAGAATTTTGCTTTTAAAATGTTATATTTTGGTAACAGGGATGTTTCAAATATTAACTTTAGAGTGTCCTTCAGTCTGTCTGTCTGTCTGTTCAGAAAAACTGTTTCCTGTGATCACTTTTAAAGAACTTTTCCAACAAGTTTACTTAAAATAGAGAAAAATTGAAACATAAGTGAATGGCCAATGCCCTTCAGAATGTTGATGGGGTTCTAACCGGTAGGGGACTTATGGATTGCTTGCAATACTATGATAATTGCTTGTGTTTTAAACATTTGAGCCGCGTCACGACAAAACCAACATAGTGCGTTTGCGACCAGCATCGATCCAGACCAGCCTGTGCATCCGCGCAGTCTGATGAGGATCCATGCTGTTCGCTATCAGTTTCTCTACTTGTAATAGAGTTGGTTAGGGAACAGCATGGATCCTGATCAGACTGTGCGGATCCATGCTGGTGGCAAACCCATTATGTTGGTTTTGTCATGATGCGGCTCATTTATTTAAGCTTAATTACGTACGAAACAAGTTCTTGCAACTTATATTTATCACTTTCGATTCCGCTTCCTGGAACCAACCAGTACTGGTGTCATATGAAGAAACATGGTCGTGACCTGATAAGAACTCAAACCCATGATCCCTGGGTTTGAGAGGCAGACAGACACCTTTACCACTAGGCCACTGATCCCCATAATGGTGGTTTTGATTTCTAAAGTGATGACTACTCTTGGTAGCTAGCTATACATTTGTGTACATATATTTAGATATTATGTAAAACTGTACACATGTATATTCACAATGTTCTGGTATTTGAGTTAGACTTTAAAAAAGTGTTTGAGCAGCATGATAAATAATGTATTCCGGTAAATACCTGATAAGGTGCTTGAATGATTAAATGCTAAAATATTGTTAACCAGGTTTTCCGAAGGAAAAAACTGGTTATTAGATTGAGGTATGTCGGCGGGCGGATGGGCGGACGGGTGGGCGGGCGGGCGTAAACATTTTCTTCTGTGCGCAACTCCTCCTACATTTCTCAACAGATTTTGACCAAACTTTCACAGAAGCTTTGTCATCAAGTGCCCTGGCGCATATTGTCGGGGTTTTGCCATTGGATAATATTTGACCTTATTATGGCCCTTTGTTGTTTTTTCTTATAAAGAATATATAGTGAACAATTTTTTCTGTGCGCAACATCTCCATCATTTCTCAACGGATTGTGACCAAACTTTCACAGAAGCTTTGTCATCAAGTGCCCTGGCACATATTGTCGGGGTTTTGCCATTGGATAATATTTGACCTAATTATGGCCCTTTGTTTTTCTTCCTTATATAGAATATATAGTGAACAATCTCTTCTGTGCGCAAATTCTCCTACATTTCTCAACGGATTTTGACCAAACTTTCACAGAAGCTTTGTCATCAAGTGCCCTGGCACATATTGTCCGGGTTTTGTGATTGGATAATATTTGACGTAATTATGGCCCTTTGATTTTTTCCTTATATAGAATATATAGTGAAAAATTTCTTCTGTGCGCAACTCCTCCTACATTTCTCAACGGATTTTGACCAAACTTTCACAGAAGCTTTTTCATCAAGTGCCCTGGCACATATTGTCGGGGTTTTGTGATTGGATAATATTTGACGTAATTATGGCCCTTTTGTTTTTTCCTTATACAGAATATATATAGTGAACAATTTCTACAGTGCGCAACTTCTCCTACATTTCTCAACGGATTTTGACCAAACTTTCACAGAAGCTTTGTTATCAAATGCCCTGGCACATATTGTCGGGGTTTTGTGATTGGATAATATTTGACCAAATTATGCTCCTTTGTTTTTTTTTCCTTATACATAATTATCAATATATAGTGAACAAATTTTTCTGTGCTGAACTAGTCCTACATTTCTCAACACTGATGTTTTTCAAACTTTCACAAAAGCTTTGTCATCAAGTGCCCTGACGCATATTGTAGAGGTTTTGTGATTGGGTCATTTTTGACCTAATTATGGCCCTTTGTTTTTTTCCTTATACAGAATATATTTTTTCCTTATTCAGAATATATAGTGAACACTTCTTCTGTGGCAATTCCTTCTACATTATTCATGTTTAACATTGCACATAGTTACATTGTTTATTGCTTGTAATTGTATTTCAAATACAACATATTTATCTACAATGGAGATAATTGAAAACCTGGTTTCGTGGCATTGCCATGTTTCTTGTCTTTCTTTTTCACTTGTGAAAAGTGCACTTTAAGACTTCTAACTCATCTTTTCACACCAATTTGTATATGATAATAAATGAAAAATGTAAAAATTGGCAGAAAAGGAGATATTTTTCTACTTTGTTATCATGATGTCTGCAAATGTTTTGAGGTACTGCTCCCAACACTGTAGTGAGTTAAATCTGTGGTATTTCAGATTTTTCAATAAAGGACAGACAGAAGTAGAGAAAAATCAGAGTTTTGTCGACAATCTTGGTCAACAGTTAAAGGACATTAAACAAGCACAGAATAACGAGAGATGTCAGCTACAAGAATTACAAACTGCTCTCAAAAGTGGTATGACGGGTTACAAAGAGGTAAATTTACCTACAAGTCCTTTAATTCTTATCACACTAACCCTTAAAGTTGCACGCCTCCAGATGAGCCAAAATATGCGAAGAAAATCAATATTGAGAAAAATGTACTTACATTTTAAGAAAGGTAAAAAACATTTAAGATCCAAGTTATATTGTACATGTTATGTGCGGTTTAAGACTGATTTGCGGTATTTTATCACCATATTTCTACTGCGTTACTAACGCAGTAAAGGCTGTTTTTGCATATGTTCACCACATTACTTTATTTGTTCACCTCCCAATATTTTACTTTTAGATACATATATAAAATTTTCATGAATATTGACATGAATCTGGAGGTGTGCTGCTTTAAAGTAGCCTTCAGCTTTTCTAAAAGTTAAAAATATTGTTTTTAGATTATTCGTTTTATTAAATTGGCAAAACAAAAGAATTATGGTGGAAAAAGACAATACCAAAATTGTCACTGATAAAATACATAACAATAAGGAAACCCCTCGATACGACTAATCTACCAGTCCGCTCTCTATATGTAAATAATTAAAGTGGTCAATTTGTTTCCTGATATTGTATTTTTAGAAATGAACGTCACTAATGTGCTATAAATAGCTTTAGGAGACGCTGTTTTGAAGAAGGTTTAACAGTGATAATTATGATACATTTTTTCCTAGATAAATTTCTAAAATACTTAGTTTGAAATGACACAGAATTTTTCAAAAAAAAACAAAAAAAACAACTGAAGGCCACTTTAATCTGATAGATTTGTGTAATGTGGTGTACCCTACATTGAACATTTTAGAACAGATTATTTGAAATTTAAGATATTTCAATATCAAAATACAAAAAAAATTAAGCTAGCAACAGTATAGAGCCAGGTCAGACTGCGTGGATGAGCAGGGCTGGCCTGGCTCTATACTGGTGACAAGGACAAATCTCTGTCTGGTTGCAGTAGGTTAAGGGTTCAAGTCATGTAAGCAACTTACCCTGTTGACATTTTTATACCGGTTAATTTTGCTTAAACCATGCAATTTGAACCATGGATTTTACATACCATATTGTAGGCTTTAAATTTGTGTTGTTAAAGTTAAGCAGTTTTTTTTTCTCCAAAAAATTGTATTATCTTTATAATTATGCATATTCATGAATATAATTATGCATATTCATGAATATAATTATGCATATTCATGAATTGGCATTATCATCATATTTAAAATAGAAAGTGTTACTGAAAGAATTAAGGAAATCACATTTTATGGCATAAATACATGTATATTTGATCTAGCTGTCAATGAATTTGGGAAGAAACTGATTTGTGAATACTATAAAAAAATAATCTAATGCAAATAAAACCAGTTTTTAGCTCACCTGTCACAAAGTGACAGGGTGAGCTTTTGTGATCGCTTTTCGTCCGGCGTCCGGCGGTCGTCCGTCCGTCCGGCGTCCGTCCGTAAACTTTTACTTTGAATGACATCTCCTCATAAACCACTAAGCCAATTTCATCCAAACTTCACAGGAATGTTCCTTTGGTGGTCACCTTTAAAAATTGTTCAAAGAATTTAATTCCATGCAGAAAGAAAAAACTTTAAATATCTTCTTTTAAAAAACCCTAAGAGATAGAGCTTAGATATTTGGCATGAAACATCTTCTAATAAGTGTCTACCAAGTTTGTTCAAATAAAAGCCCTGGGGTTAAAATTGGCCCCGCCCCAGGGGGTCTTTGATTTTCCCTATATGCATATAGTAAAAACTTAAAAAATCTTCTTTTAAAGAACTCAAAGAGCTAGAGCTAAGATCTTTAGCATGAAACATGTTCTAATGGGTGTCTACAAAGTTTGTTTAAATAAAAGCCCTGGGGTCAAAATTGGCCCCGCCCCGGAGGTCATTGATTTTCCTTATATGTGTATAGCAAAAACTTAAAAATCTTCTTTGAAAAAACGTAAATAGCTAGAGTTTAGATATTAAGCATGAAACATTTTCAGTGAGTGTCTACCAAGTTTGTTCAAATAAAAGCCCTGGGGTCAAAATTGGCCCTCCCAGGGGGTCTTTGATTTTCCCTATATGCATATAGTAAAAACTTAAAAAATCTTCTTTTAAAGAACCCAAAGAGCTAGAGCTAAGATATTTAGCATGAAACATCTTCTAATGAGTGTCTACCAAGTTTCTTCAAATAAAAGCCCTGGGGTTTAAACTGGCTCTGCTCCAGGGGCCTATATACAGGTGAGCGACTTCAGGGCCATCATGGCCCTCTTGTTAAGTATACCTTTCTTAAACTTTGTACACAAGTTTAATTTTATGAAAAATTTGTTTGATGTATAGATGTGCAGTATTAAAAAATCATTTGTTAAATGAGGTCATCATCAACAATCATTTGCTTGCCTTATTGTTTTCCTCCTTCACCATTCCTGATGTGAATTTAAAGAAATATGACCATACTTAAGAAATAGTACACAACACTGAGGGTCTCTTAGCATTTAACTTAAGTGACCACTTATTCAGCCGGTAACATTTAATGGCTGGTTTGTTCAATGTTTGGGACTGACTGTGAGGTCACTGTAATGCTATGAGGTTCGAGGTAATATGTACTATTTCTTATATTATACAGCACTTTGCTAGAAAAAATGTTAAGAAAAAAAACCCCAAAGCATTCGAAGTAAACTGAACTAAAAACTTTTGGCCGATTAAATGCATGTTTAGCTGTCCGATAAAAATATAATAGTACCAGCTTAGGCCTTCACTCTACTCTTTTGTTGGACTGCCGACGTCATCGTGAATATTACGTTATTTTCTAAGAAGGAATATAATTTTATTTATGTATGGTATAATATTAGTAACTCTGACAAACTATTGTTACTTTTCTGTGATTGATAATTGAATTGTACAACCATTTACATGATTAAATTGTACAACCATTTACATGATTAAATTGTACAAACATTTACATGGTTAAATTGTACAACCAATTACATGATTGAATTGTACAACCATTTACATGATTGAATTGTTCAACCATTTACATGATTAAATTGTACAACCATTTACATGATTAAATTGTACAACCATTTACATGATTAAATTGTACAACCATTTACATGATTAAATTGTACAACCATTTACATGATTATTGAAAACCAGTCCAATTTTTATATTAGCATGCACACTTCCGCTGGTCTGGAGGACTCTGGGTAATTTTTTTGTATTGTGATATATATAGTAACAGTTTATATTTATAGTAACAGTTGTGTGTGGTAATTTATGTATGGCATTTACACTGGAATAATCCGACAGGAAGTTGTATATATAACTTACTATTTGTTCCTGGGTATATTATTGGGAGGACTGTTTGTATATAATCATTAGAACTTGAGGGTAAAATCTTAGAAGGGTTAGAGTATGATCTTTAGTAGGTTTGGATATGATGTAACTGTCTTATGGTCTATTGATATCTTGGGTAAGACTTTTGAAGGGCAAATTTATTGTCTTTTGAGGGCAAGGGTTTGATCTTTTGAGGGCAAGGGTATGATCTTTGAAGGGCAAGGGTATTGATTTTGGAGGTCAATGGTATAATCTTTGGGGGGATAGAGAATGATCTTTGTAGAAATAGGGAATGGTATTTTGAGGGCAAGGGTATGGTATTTGTAGGGCAAGGGTATGATCTTATGAGGTCAAGGGTATGATCTTTGGAGGGCATGGGTATAATCTTTGTAGGGCAATGGTATTGATTTTGGAGGGCAATGGTATAATCTTTGGGGGGATAGAGAATGATCTTTGGAGAAATAGGAAATGATCTTTGGAGGGCAAGGATATGATCTTATGAGGGCAATCGTATGATCTTAGGAGGGCAAGGGTATAATCTTCAGAGGGCAAGGGTATTATCTTTGAAGGGATAGAGAATGATCTTTGGAGGGTAAGGGTATGTTCTTTGGAGGGCAAATGTATAATCTTTGAAGGGATAGAGAATGATCTTTGAAGGGATAGAGAATGATCTTTGGAGGGTAAGGGTATGATCTTTGGAGGGCAAGGGTATGATCTTTGGAGGGCAAGGGTATGATCTTTGGAGGGCAAGGGTATGATCTTTGGAGGGATAGGGAATGATCTTTGGAGGGTAAGGGTATGATCTTTGGAGGGCAAGGGTATGATCTTTGGAGGGCAAGGGTATGATCTTTGGAGGGCAAGGGTATGATCTTTGGAGGGCAAGGGTATAGTCTTTGGAGGAATAGAGAATGATCTTTGGAGGGCAAGGGTATGATATTTGGAGGGCAAGGGTATGATCTTCAAAGGGCAAGGGTATGATCTTTGGAGGGATAGAGAATGATCTTTGGAGGAATAGGGAATGATCTTTGGAGGGCAAGGGTATGATCTTTGGAGGGCAAGGGTATGATCTTTGGAGGGCAAGGGTATGATCTTTGAAGGGATAGAGAATGATCTTTGGAGGATAAGGGTATGATCTTTGGAGGGCAAGGGTATGATCTTTGGAGGGCAAGGGTATGATCTTTGAAGGGCAAGGGTATGATCTTTGAAGGGCAAGGGTATGATCTTTGAAGGGATAGAGAATGATCTTTGGAGGGTAAGGGTATGATCTTTGGAGGGCAAGGGTATGATCTTTGAAGGGCAAGGGTATGATCTTTGAAGGGATAGAGAATGATCTTTGGAGGGTAAGGGTATGATCTTTGGAGGGCAAGGGTATGATCTTTGGAGGGCAAGGGTATGATCTTTGAAGGACAAGGGCATGATCTTTGAAAGGCTAAGTTTAAACTTAAGATGGCAAGGATACTGTTTATTAATCACTTGAGTATTTTCTTATGATGACTAGAAGCTCAATTGTTTAGACATTGGAAATAGAAAAATGTTAGATATCTTTAAGTAAGACAAATGATAAACCTTCTATTATAACTTTTCTCGGTTCTCAGCTCTTCTCATACATATCACTGTACTGTGGTCAGAAATCTGTTAGGTATCTATGTTGCCAATTATAAAAATACGCGTATACTTCATTCTGTTAACCAGGGAATACATTGTTGTATTTAGATTATGTAACTTTATTATGATTTATTAACTGTTGTTATTCTTTTTGTCTCACACAGATTTCTTGCAGACCTTTAGGGTTATTTGTTTAATAATATGATTTGGGGGACTGACTTAATAGCGTTATCTATATAATTGTTTTGGTAATTTGATTTCTTGACTTTGATGCATTTTTATAAAGTATTTAATATTTATGAAATGTAAGATCCTCAGATATTGTAAATTTTATAACTAACTACGAGGGTTGGCCAAAAAATTCTGCAATTATCGTCGTGAGAGTAATTATTAAAAACAAAAGAATTATATATCACTTGAAGGGGAAATCTGTCTCCAATACGAAAACAAAAGAAAAAGCCGAGTAACCGGCGTGTCGTGTAAAAGAATGGTCATTAAGTTACCTTAGTAACGTAATACCGGCGCACGACAAACAAATGGGTTAGTTCATTACTGTAATTGCATTAATTGTTTGTTGCTTGTAAAGTTGCATTTGCTTTTTATGTTATAATTTGTTTAACTGTCAATAGAGGAATGATTGATGCAAAGTATTTTGTACTTTTTATTGTTCTTGTGCAACGTACATGTAACATATTCCACCAGTGCTCGAATATATTGGACAACCCTCGTCACATGCGCCGGCATTACGGACGGACGTCTGCTTGACCGGTTGTCATCGTCTACCGACACTCGCCCTTCTACAGAGTGTTTGTGTCATTGTAAAACCAGCCTTCGTGACACTGAACTTGTCCCGCTTGCTTTTATAAGTTCTTTGTAGGTATCTGTTGGTGTTTTACCAATTTTTGCACGAAATTTAATTATCGTCCGTATTTCCAGACGTTTAGCGACTGACAATTTCACGTAATTACAGTATTGACGAACATACACAAATGTTTGTTTACGACCGTTACAATAAGGCAAATGACGTTATATTTTCTAGTGACGTTAGGAATACGTACACACACTTTTCCCTGAATTTTGACGTTTATATGTAGTGTTTAAAGAATACCGTGATGCATCAAAGTAATGAACTAACCCAATTTTTTGTCGTGCGCCGGTATTGCGTTACCAAGGTAACTGTATGACGATTCGTTTACACGACACGGGGGTTATACGTTTTTAGCTCACCTGTCACAAAGTGACAGGGTGAGCTTTTGTGATCGCTTTTCGTCCGGCGTCCGTCCGTCCGTCGTCCGTCCGTCCGTCCGTAAACTTTTACTTTAAATGACATCTCCTCATAAACCACTAAGCCAATTTCATCCAAACTTCACAGGAATGTTCCTTTGGTGGTCACCTTTAAAAATTGTTCAAAGAATTTAATTCCATGCAAAACTCTGGTTGCCATGGCAACCGAAAGAAAAAACTTTAAATATCTTCTTTTAAAAAACCATAAGAGCTACAGCTTAGATATTTGGCATGAAACATCTTCTAGTGAGTGTCTACCAAGTTTGTTCAAATAAAAGCCCTGGGGTCAAAATTGGCCCCGCCCCGGGGGGTCATTGATTTTCCCTATATGCATATAGTAAAAACTTAAAAAATCTTCTTTTAAAGAACCCAAAGAGCTAGAGCTAAGATATTTAGCATGAAACATGTTCTAATGGGTGTCTACCAAGTTTGTTCAAATAAAAGCCCTGGGGTGAAAATTGGCCCCGCCCCGGGGGTCATTGATTTTCCCTATATGCATATAGTAAAAACTTAAAAAATCTTCTTTTAAAGAACTCAAAGAGCTAGAGCTTAGATATTTGGCATGAAACATCTTCTAGTGTGTGTCTACCAAGTTTGTTCAAATAAAAGCCCTGGGGTCAAAATTGGCCCCGCCCCGGGGGGTCATTGATTTTCCCTATATGCATATAGTAAAAACTTAAAAATCTTCTTTTAAAGAACCCAAAGAGCTAGAGCTAAGATATTTAGCATGAAACATGTTCTAATGGGTGTCTACCAAGTTTGTTCAAATAAAAGCCCTGGGGTGAAAATTGGCCCCGCCCCGGGGGTCATTGATTTTCCCTATATGCATATAGTAAAAACTTAAAAATCTTCTTTTAAAGAACTCAAAGAGCTAAAGCTTAGATATTTGGCATGAAACATCTTCTTGTGTGTGTCTACCAAGTTTGTTCAAATAAAAGCCCTGGGGTCAAAATTGGCCCCGCCCCGGGGGGTCATTGATTTTCCCTATATGCATATAGTAAAAACTTAAAAAATCTTCTTTTAAAGAACCCAAAGAGCTAGAGCTAAGATATTTAGCATGAAACATGTTCTAATGGGTGTCTACCAAGTTTGTTCAAATAAATGCCCTGGGGTGAAAATTGGCCCCGCCCGGGGGTCATTGATTTTCCCTATATGCATATAGTAAAAACTTAAAAAATCTTCTTTTAAAGAACTCAAAGATCTATGGCTAAGATATTGAGCATCAAACATGTTCTAATAGGTGTCTACCAAGTTTGTTCAAATACAAGCCCAGGGGTCAAAATTGGCCCCGCCCCGGGGGTCATTGATTTTCTTTATATGTGTTTAGCAAAAACTTTAAATCTTCTTTGAAAAAACCCAAATAGCTAGAGTTTAGATATTAAGCATGAAACATCTTCTAGTAAGTGTCTACAAAGTTTGTTCAAATAAAAGCCCTGGGGTCAAAACTGGCCCGGCCCCAGGGGTGTCATTGTTTTTAACTATATGTGTATAGTAAAAACTTAAAAAAAATCTTCTTTTAAAAAGCCCAATGAGCTAGAGGTTAAATGGTTAGCATGAAACATCTTCTTATGGGTGTCTACCAAGTTTGTGCAAATAAAAGCCGTTTGGTTAAATTGGCTCTGCAACGTTGGGGGGGGGGGTTGGGGGGGGGCCTATATACAGGTGAGCGACCTCAGGGCCATCATGGCCCTCTTGTTTTCTTTTGTTTTCTTATATGAGACAGATTTCCCCTTCGAGTGATATATAATTCATATTTTTTATCAATAACTCTCACGACAATAACTGCAGTGCACGAATTTTTTGGACAACCCTCGTATATGCAAATATTCCTAGATAATTTGTTTTGATAGCTTTCATTAGAGGTCTTATTTTATATTAACTGTGCCAACAAGACTATATTTAACAAGTTGCTACTGTTGAGAATTAAATCCCCTTCTCTTACACTGCAGGAAAAGAAAATTTGATATTTTATTTATATAAGCAGATTTTATTTTATTATCATACGGGGTAGGTTAGCGGTGGGGGAGGTGGAATCTAGATTTTGTTTATGAATTTTTAAACCAGCGTGTGTAGCAAACCCATTTTGTTATGACAAATTCGGATGAAAACTAATGATTAAAGAGTAAAGAATTATTAATTATTCTTACAGCCAAGCTCGACGTCAGTAACTCCCCCTGGTTACAGCTTACATCAACTACAAGGAAACAAGAACCATGGATGTGTTAAAGAAGGGTACCTTTTAAAAAAGAGTGAAGGAATGTTGAAAAAAATCTGGCAGAAACGGAGATGTAAAATTAAAGATGGAATTATGTCTATTAGTCATTCTGATGTAAGTTTACATTGTTTTACCCTTGACAGGTTTAAGTTGGCATTGTTTTACCCTTGATTGGTTTAAGTTTACATTGTTTTATCCGTGACTGGTTTAAGTTTACATTGATTTACCCTTGACAGATTTAAGTTTACATTGTTTTAAAAGCCAGTGACAACATAACAAAATAAATGAGTGAGTATATACATTTACACATATTGATATAGTTTTGAAAGTGATAGGCAATTTAACTTTGTAATCATACCTAGCTAGTAGATACATGCATGTACAAAATACAAAATTTTTGTATAGTTTTTAAAAAAAAAACTCATTGATTTATGTTTTCATACATTTTGTGTGTATTTCAGGAAACCAAGGACCCTGTTAGACTTAATTTATTAACTTGTCAAGTAAAAGTGAGTATTTCATTTATTCCATTTTCTATCTTCTAACATTTTCTTGCATATTAGACTCGTGTTTCCATTAATTTTTCCCATGCTTGAAATTTCATCTGGCATGTGGGGTGCCATATGAGTTGCTCACTATATAATGGCATGCTAAGCATGACAAGCCTCGTTACGGTCAGGTTTTTTTTTCCAGGATTTTTGGAACATGACCCATACCCATGGAATTGGGAAATTCATCTATGTTTTGTTAAAAATTGGGATAGAATGCATTACTTAAATTTTTCAGTGATTATTTAAAAGCAAAGAATCACCGTCTAGGATGGCATCTTCAAATATTTAAGCACTATAACAGTGAAGAAGCCCTTAATTTCATAGATTTTAGAAACTGTATCAGGAATACTTGAAACTTAGATTTTACCGAGTAGAAGCACCGACTTTCCGTAAGCCAGTTTGATAGTTTGACATTATAATTCCTTCATCAGTATATCAGAAAATGGACATGCTATAATCCAACACACAATCACACACACACACATGCACAGACACGCACACACATGAAGAATATTATGAGTTAGAAAGATTTTTGACAGGTTATATGGCCCTATATAAACAGTCATTTGTTGATATAACCAGAGTGGTTAGGCGAGGGTTATATTGCAAACAACTGTTTATATATAACCAAAGAACCTGTCAGGAATATTTATAACAAATTTATAATTCTGCAAACTTAATTTTTTAGGAAATAAAGTGAAATTTCTTCATGAATTGACAGCAGCCGTGTATATAAAACTATAAAAACGTCACGATTATTCAACGAAATACACAAACTACAAACTTGCAGTATTATAAAACTGGGTTACATATGAAATTAAACAAGTCACAATGTTATTATACAGTATAGTTATTGTTTGCTTATTACAGCTTGTCTCAGAAGATCCAGGGAAGAAATGTTTTGACCTTGTTTCTAGTCACGGTAAGAAGTTATTTTTAGTGTAAGCAACTTAGTTTCAATATAAATCATAGTGTAAACAATGTAATAATCGTTAAAGTATTTCCAATATGTATTGGGAACATTAAAGCAGATTCTTGCAGATTCATGCTAATTTTCATCAACATTTTGAAAATGTATTTAAAAGTAAAATATTGTTAAGTGAAGAAAGAAAGTAATTTACACAATGCAAACAGCATTTACAGTCCAAGTTAATTACGGAAAAAAGGTCAAAATAAACAAAATTAGCCTTTACTGCTGTAGTGACGCAGTAGAAACATGGTGATAAATTCTGCTAAATTAGTCATTAATAAATTTGTAAATAAGTGTTTTTCATTATAGCCTTGTTATTGGGCTGAAGACTGTCATATTTGCCTGAAACCAATGGCCGAAGGCTAAGATGGCTGTCTAAAGCCTAATAACAATTTTATTAATTAACTACACATAATTTAAAGAAGTTAAATACTTAGTGAACAAACTATAACTAATGTGAAATTCCATTGTTGTGAGGTATAAGAAAGTGTCCTTGTATTTTAGGATTTATGCCCTGAATTCCAGATTTCACAATTTATATTTTTTTGTATAAAGAAAAACAAAATTGACATAGCATTCCATTATGTTTACAGGCAACAGAACTTACCATTTTCAAGCAGATGATGAAAAAGAAATGGAACAGTAAGCTAATTATTTTAAGATAAAATATTTCACAAAATAATTTTTTTTAAATTTTCAATTTTTTAATCAATGCTATTTAAAATGAAATTATTCCTTAAACTGCTATATTACTGTAATGGATTTTTCCAAGCTTTAACTTTGGAACAGTCCATTCAAAGTTAAAGGTTCTCTTCTGAGGGTTTTTCACATGATGGAACTGGAAATATTTTTTGGAGAATTGTGAACCATTTGGTGAAGGGCTGGACCAATAAATTGTGTGCAAATTTTCAGATCTTTCCCTCTTCCTGATTTTTTCAGAATCACCATTTTTATTTATCATTATTATTTTATTGTGCAAAATGACCCAAAGTGAGGCGTTTCAACACTTCGGCTTAAGAATCGTACAAAAAATTATAATTTCAATTTAGTTCTTGGTATATTTCTTCATTATCATTTACAGATTTTTGCATTTTAAGTGCTTCTCTTAGCCTATGTATAAATTCCAAATTTTACGATTTAAGGCTTTTGAACCTCAGTGGTGCCCCTTTATGGGATTTCAGTGTCAACAGACTTTGAGTGTGCGTTTCTCTACTTGTTTTGCTGATTTTTTACACATTTGTTCATATGCCGAAGTTTGATCCACCATACTGGCTTTCCTGGTTAATTATGCAGTAATTAGCAATTTCTCATCAAGTGACCTACTTCTAATTCCACATGATTATTGAGTGATAAGGGGCAAATACCATAATGTAAATTCCCATGTAAGAGAACCAAACTTAAAGACAAATATAAAGGGTAAAAAAGAATTTTTTTTGGACGGGGCCTTTTAGTATAACGCTAAAAATTAGCTGTGCTTAAGGGTATTTTTTGTATAACGAAAAATGAGGGTTCAGGTAAAAAACATATCCGACTGTGCAAAAAACCTTTTTTTGGGTTTAAGTCGAAAAAAGGCGGAGGGTATGTAAATAAATTTAAGTTTTTAAAGAAACTTTAAATGTCTTTTTTAGGTGGTTTTCCCAATTTATTAAGAAAATGAAAAAAGAAGGGGTTTGTTTTTGGAAGGGCATTCCAGGACTGGGGTTTTCGTTGGGGGACCATTAAAATGAGACGGTGGGGGAAATTTAACCCACAAGCTTTTCCCAACTGGGAACCTCAAGTTTCCCTGGTAACAGCATCTGCTGCGATTGTGGGGCACCAGGTATAAATTCTTGAATGAAATAAATTATTTGGTTGATAGTGTGTTTACTACTAATTTTACTTATTTGAGCCGTGTCACGACAAAACCAACATAGTGCGTTTGCGACCAGCATGGATTCAGACCAGCCTGCGCATCCGCGTAGTCTGAACAGGATCCATGCTGTTCGCTATCAGTTTCTTTACATGTAATAGAGTTGGTAAGCGAACAGCATGGATCCTGATCAGACTGTGTTGATGCGCAGGCTGGTCTGGATCCATGCTGGTCGCAAAGCCATTATGTTGGTTTTGTCATGACGCGGCTCATTTATTAGATTTGGGGTGAAAAAACGTAAACTGTATCATATTATGCCTTTCAAGTCGTCATTCGTACTAGGTGCTCGCGCATCCTAGTACACCATCCTTGTCGACTGCCTACTTTGTAGGGCTACTCCCTTCAGCTTTAGTCAGGACACCGGTAGCTAATCTCATGCAGTTTTAGCTGTTTCACCTTAAACATAACCCAGTCTGTAGAGTGGATGACGTCTTATCTGCCTGTGCCTTCTCAACAACTTGCACATACCAAAGGGAAATGAGAAGAATCTATTGTTTTAAATTAGAGCAGCGTAAGGGCTTACCTTCATTTATTCAAAGATGGGCAACTCCCTTTAAATTATTTCACAAACTTCCCTTGAATTATTGTAAAGAAGTGTATATGGTTTTCATCCAATCTTTATCTATACAGGATATATATGGTATGTCAGTTGACAGCAAAAGCATTTGAATAATTCACCTAAAAGTTTTAAGTTAAATCCTGCCATGGACTTACGTAAATCTCAATTAATAAAAGGTAGGAAGTTGCTGCATAGTATTGAAGATGTACTATGCTAAAATTGGATATTTGAAAATATTGATAATTGCTACATGATCGTTTTGTAAATATAAAATAAACATGTTTTGATTTCACACAAAATAGATCTGTTTTGCTTTAAATTCTACACACACCTTTAAGTGGACACACTATAAATATATAGAGTCATTTAAAAAAACAAAAGAAATAGCGTGTTTTTTTTTTAGGAAAGGATTAGCTTTACTCGACCTATAATAAGGAAAGCTGATTCCCATTCATAGTTTGTATGCTCTTTTATTTAAATAAGACATATTCAGTAAGAATGATATAGATTCCAATAAATTTCTGCAATAAAAAAAGGGACGCAAATTTTCTGGCTTTTTTTTAAGTGCACCTGAGCTTGCTCATGGTGAGCTTTTAGGATTGCTGAATGTCTGTCATCCGTCCACAATTGTTCGTTAACACTAGGGGTCACATTTTTGCCTCAATCATCATCAAACTTTGTCAAGATGCTTGTCTAGGTAATTGCTCGGATGAGTTCGAACATTGGTGATCTCGGATGAAAAACTAGGTCATAGGAGCTAAAAATAGATAAATCTTGTTCACACTGTTGTGGCTACTGTTTTGATCCAAATATCCTGGAAATTGGTCTGAAAGTTTGTTTTGATGATTTCTGGGTCAAGTTCAAATATGGGTCAGCTGGGGGTCAAAAACTAGGTCACACTGCTGAAATATGGAAAAACCTTGTTAACACTAGTGGTCACATTTTAGACTCAACTGTCATGAAACTTGGTCAGAATGCTTGTCTATGTAATTGCTGGGATGAGTTTGATGGGTCTGGTGAGCATTCTAGGGCCATCATGGCCCTCTTGTTTTATAATTATAATAGTAATTGCCATTTCAATTTTTAGATCCAAAATGGCTGTCTACAAACCTGGGAGTATTAGTGTGTTTAGAATGCTGTGGTATACATAGAAATCTCGGTGTTCATGTGTCACGGACACAAAGTTTAGAAATAGACGATTTAAGAACATCTCAATTACTGGTAAGTTTATGATAGAATTACGACAAAACCAACATAGTGCGTTTGGGCATCTGTGCAGTCTGATCAGGATCCTTGCTGTTCGCTTACCAACCCTTTTACAAGTAGAGAAACTGATGGCGAACAGCATGGATCCTGATCAGACTGCACGGATGTGCAAACACACGATGTTGGTTTTGTCGTGGCGTGGCTCGTATATCATGATATTTGAATTGCAAAATATATTGTACATGGGTTATTGTGTATGTAATAACTATTTCTGATGTAAAGATTCACAATACAATATTTTACTTATAAAAAAGTAAGTATTTAATAGCTCTAGAATAATAAAAACTACATGTATAAACAAATCTGATAAAAAATGATAACATAATATTCAATACAGAATCTGTCACAAACAGTCTTCCCAAGGACGCTTACATTTTTTTGATGTCGGACAACTCTACCCACATACCATTATACATTCACTATATTACAAAATGTCTCACGCCTGTGGGTTCAAATCCTGACAGGGACTTTGGATTTTTTCATATGAGGAAGCTATCCAGCTAGCTTACGGAACGTCGGTGGTTCTACTCATGAGCTGGTTCATGCCTGAAATAATGCACAGAAGGGCACCTGAGGTCTTCCTCCATCAGTAAAGCTGGAACATTGCCATATGACCTATACTGTGTTGGTGTGATGTAATACCCTATCAAACAAACAAATATTACAAAATCATGATTTTTTTTTGTTTATTTCAGTTAGCAAGAGTTATAGGAAATGACAATTTTAATGAAGTTTTAGAGGCCAAATTAGACAGATCATCTAAACTTAAACCAGATAGTCCCATGTATGTATAATTCCATTATATGAATAAACCTTTTATAATTAAAGAGTATTTCTTCAAACATTTAATGACACTAGTGTAATTGATTTCAAGACAGAATTTATTTTAATTTGATTGTGTAGGAAGATATAAGTTTATAACACTTTAAAAATTTCTTCTGGGAATTAGCCAGTATTTAGAGCTATTACTAAGCAAAGAGTGTAAATTTTCTTGCTTTAGAAAACTACAGCTTTCCCCTGATAGTGTATGAATCCATGTGGCTAACTATTCTTGGATTTCTAGTCTGGCAGTTAACCACTCGGCCATGTTGCCACAACATTTCTATAAAGAGATGCCATAAAACATGCTGTTTTAAATGATTTGATATTTGTTTGTGACCTTTATTAAAAAACATAAAAAACAAACTGAAACGTTAGAATGCATAATTTTTTTTATAATAACTCATAATTATCACCATGGTTACCAATAACTATTACTAGGAAAGAAAGAGAAGAGTTCATCAAGGCGAAGTATGTACAACATAAGTTTACGATCGAGACGTGCAGCGATACTATAGAGTTACAGCAGGACCTTCAACAGGCAATACAGACCCGTGATATACAAGCTATAATACAGGTGTACGCCGAGGGTCTAGATCTGATGACAGTTCTACCAGAATCTGTTAGTATCTGTTCTGTTAAATTCTTACTCTGCTTAAACCTGTACCACTTTAGTTTGTTAGTATCTGTTCTGCCCTAATTTCGTATCTGTTCTGCCCTAATTTCGTATCTGTTCTGCCCTAATTTCAAAAGACTCATTCTCATAGGTACATGTCCCAAAAGAGGGTCATTGCTGTAGTTTCCTGTATCAAAGTGGCAATTTTGCAGAAATTGTTGACACCTGTTTGTCATAATACATGTCTGACTGTTCTGATATCACTGTTAGAAAAAATGCCAACTGTGTAAAATGGCGATAAATGTTTAATGGCCGGTATTAAAAAAATCCTTAGATTTTCAACACAACTTTGTGTCTTTATGACAAGATAGTACATTTTTTCTATTTTGTTGGACTCAAAATGATTACAATACATATCCGCATATGGAGTACTTATTTTCTGTTAGGGTCATACCATACTTGATCAGATCAGAAAAAAATGCATTGTCAAGTACAACTTAAATACAAACACATTGTGGTATCTTATGTAAAACAGTCAGTTAATATTTAAAATCAATTTTAAACTTTTGTACTGCTTGTCAAAAAGTAACCTCGGTTACCGGTTATTGAATTTTCTAACAGTTTTTTAGCTGAAAAAACAACCGTACCCATTTAAATGGATAAATGTGACACCCCATCAATTTGTATACATTTTACAGCCCATAGATGAGACAGCATTACATCTTGCCATTGCTGAGGAAGATGGCAGCTCTCTCCCAATTGTCGACTTTATTGCACAGAATTCCAATTTGTAAGTATTGAACAACAACCCCCCCCCCCCCCCCCCCCCCCCCCAAAAAAAAAAAAAAAATGAAAAATTGACTCTTTGAAAACTTTAACTTGCACCCTGACAACTAGACTGCCTGGAAATAAGACACCTTTAATTAACCCTACTGATGTTTACAGCTGTAATCAATGGATATTTTTCTGTGGATCAATGATTGGTACACATTTCAAAAAAATAGGGGCGTCCGTGGCCGAGTGGTTAAGGTTGTTGACTTCAAACCACTTGCCCCTCACCGCTGTGGGTTCGAATCCTATCAGGGACTTTGGATTCTTTCATATGAGGAAGCTATCCAGCTAGCTTACGGAACGTCAGTGGTTCTACTCAGGTGCCTGTTTGAGCCTGAAATAATGCACGGAAGGGCACCTGAAATCTTCATCCGCCAGTAAAGCTAGAACTTCGCGATATGACCTATACTGTGTCGATGTGACGCAAAACCCAAAACAAAAATCAAAAAAATAGTTTTGACTAATTAAGTGGACTTATTTGTACAAAATTCCAATTTGTAAGTATTGAACAAAAAAAAAAACCCAAACAATTATGAAAAACTTGCACCATGACAATTAGACTGTCTGAAAATAAGACACTTTTAATTACATCTTTTGAAGTTTGTACAACTTAAAAATTAAGGTCCAATGAAAACTAAAATGTAAAATATCTCTGTGACATTTGATCTTGTGGATATTTGAGCCGCGTCATGACAAAAACAACATAATTGGTTTGCAACCAGCATGGATCCAGACCAACCTGCGCATCCCAGGATCCATGCTGTTCGCTATCAGTTTCTCTACTTGTTAAAGGGTTTGTAAGCGAACAGCATGGATCCTGATCAGACTGCGCGGATGCGCAGGCTGGTCTGGATCCATGCTGGTCGCAAGCCCATTATGTTGGTTTCGTCGTGATGCAGCTCATTTGTCTCTTACCACTAATACAAAAATCATGTAGTATTAAAAGTCTGTTACTTGAGGAGAAAATGGTAATAACTGGTTAGTTATCCAGACAACCAAGCAAGGACCAAAAATGTGATGAAATTATCATTTAAACTGGACAAACAAGCAAACAAACATTAACTTTTACATTTGTATTTAGACCTGTCACCGATAGAAACAGTATCGATGTATCATCAATATTTTTCTGTTTATGGATAATTGATAGACATTTTAAAAAAGATCGTTAACTTTGACTCATTACTAAAATGTCTAGAAATTATGAAAATTCAATAAAAACATATAAAGAAACAGGTGTTTATGTCTAACACTATGCTGTTGTTACATAGTTGAAGTGTTTTATAGCAGTGATGACAGAAAATGGTCAGGAAAAAAATCATGCAATGGGCATTTATAAACAAAATACTCTATTTTACTGAAATCATTGAAACAGGTATGAAAGGTTGATATGCTTTGCACTGTATCAATGACAGCTCTGTTTGTATTTCAGGAATAGTTTGAGCAGACAAACTCGAGATGGTAACACATGTTTACATCTGTGTGCAATGTTGAACAAATCTGAGTGCATGAAATGTTTGTTGAGGATTAAACCTGATATAGCCAACATCAAAAACAATGAAGGTCAAACTGCCTATGATATTGCCCTAGAAAAAGACTATCAGTTGTGTGCAGAATTGGTATGATTAATGCAATATTTTCCCCCTCCCCTAATCCTTGCCCTCAGTTCTTCTAAACACCTCAGTTCTTCTTAACCCCGCCCTCAGTTCTTCTAATCCCCGCCCTCAGTTCTTCTAATCCCCGCCCTCAGTTCTTCTACAGCCCGCCCTCTGTTCTTCTAAAAAAAGTATTGAATTAGCTCACTATTTGTTACTTGCCGAATTGGCATGTTTGTGATAGTTACGTATCTGTCCTCCGTTCTTTAAAAAATTAGGTGACGGAAAGTTGGTGGTTCTACTCAGATGCTCGTTAGTGGCTGTATTAATAATGCACTGAAAGGCACCCGAGGTCTTCCTCTACCATGAAAGCTTGAAAGTTGCCATATGTCTTGGTGAGACCTAAAACCCTGCCAAAAAAAATAGAGAAAGTTCCTTTGTTGAAGTGTGATTTTACAAAATAATATAGTTTGGAAATGCTGAATAAGGGTTTTGGCTTGCTATTGCCATTTATCTGGATCTGGAGTATCACATTTTGATTTTGTTAATCTCGTAAGCCTGTCATCTTTGAAATTTAGCAGCAGATACTGTTTCACTTTGCTGACTACTTAACGCTGCTGAGCTTAAGATTTGGTTAAAAATTGGGTTGACCAATGACTGCCGACAGCTGGTGACTGCTGAACAAATTGAGCCGTGTCACGACAAAACCAACATAGTGCGTTTGCGACCTGCATGGATCCAGACCGGCTGATCAGGATCCATGCTGTTCGCTTACCAACTCTATTACAAGTAGAGAAACTGATAGCGAACAGCATGGATCCTGATCAGACTGCGCAGATGCGCAGGCTGGTCTGGATCTTTGCTGGTTGCAAACCCACTATGTTGGTTTTGTCGTGACGCGGCTTAATTTATAAAAATAGAGTGATATTTGGTGGAGGCATCACAAAATGCCTGTTCAGGCCAGGCAATTGCCGGTGACTGTTGGTAAAGGTTTGACTATACTTCATCTGAAAATATCAGAGGTAATTGATGATAGATGTGGCTTATTTCAAATCACAACCACTCACAATTGGAATTCTTTTGTTGGATAAAGCTGACCACAAAGCTTATAGATACAGTAATGAATAGATGGTTGGCCTCTGTTGACACCATTTGAGCCGTGCACGACAAAACCAATGTAATGCGTTTGCGAACAGCATGGATCCAGACCAGCCTGCGCGTCCGCGCAGTCTGATCAGGATCCATGCTGTTCGCTATCAGTTTTTCTATTTGTAATAGAGTTTGAAAGCGCACAGCATGGATCTTGATCAGACTGCGCGGACTTGCAGGCTGGTCTGGATCTATGCTGGTCGCAAACATATTATGTTGGTTTTGTCATGACGCGGCTCATTTATATGATTGATTTATTGTAGGCTAAGGCTGCTATGGCAGGGAAGAAAGAAGTGTTTGAACATATAAATACAGAATGGGATCTCATGACGGTATGCTATAAAATAAAACTTTAAAGGGACTCCATTGACGTTTAAAACCCTAAAAAGATAGCAATTGAATTTCTTACATAAATGAGCTGGGGCACTTTAACCAGAAATATATGCAAAGATAGTTAAGAAATATACTTTGAAATAAATTGAAAATCCTATTTTTATGCTTTTCGTAGCCAGATATGAGTGAAAAGCGTTTAAACGCTTTTCATTTTGTGTCAATTTTTTTACAATTTGAATAATTATTCTGGAAAAACTAAGTGAGCAAATGATCTGAAATTTTGCACCAAGATTAGTGGTCTAAACCTACATCAAATGGTACATTTATCTGGAAAAAATATTATCAGTCCCATCATGTCAAAAAACCTCAGTGGAGTCCCTTTAAGTTTAAAATTAATTTTTAAAGTAGCACACCTCCAGATTCATGTTTACATGTATTTTCATGAAAATGTATTAAAAAGTAAAATATTGTGAATTGAACAAAGAAAATATTTTTTTTTACATTGCAAACGGCATAAACAACCCATGTAAATTAACAAAGAGTGGTCAAAATATGTAAAAATAGCCTTTACTGCATTATTAAAGCAGTAGAATATTAGGGGAAAATACTGCAAAATCGGTCATAAATCGCTCTAACATAGAAATTATTCCTTTTTTCTTGAGTCATTTTACTTTTCTTAAAATCTCAGTACTTTTTACTCAAGTTTTATTTTCTTGAAATATTTTAGCTCATCTGGAGGAATGCAACTTAAAAAGTATCCATCTGGAGTTTAATGTTGTAGAACAATAAGTTTGTTTTTACATATATACATACATACTAAACAATGTAACCACTCCAGAGTAAGACCCCTTGGGGAGGCAAATACTTTGAATGTTGTTAAGAGGTATTGCTCTGGAGAGGTTAAATATATGGTAGAAGTCTTACTTTGGGAATTTTATTGAAACTGTTGCTGTAAAGAGGCAATTGCCAAAATGAATTTGGAAGTCAGAGACTGCAAATTGGAAGTCACATTTTATAAGCAAAAAGTGGAGAAGTATTAGATTTTGGAAGGAAAAGCCAAAATCAAGCAGAAATGGCCCCAAAACTTCCAATAAAAAGACTCCTGATATATTTCTGTGACCAGCAAGAACTATGCAGAGAGTGTAAAGTTTTTTGCTCACTGAAACAACAGTCAGCAATCCTAGAATACCAGTCCGACAAGTAAACTTACATATATCTGGCTACTTATATTATGACTTATTTATTTTGACAAAAACTTTAAAGAAAAATATTTGATATTTCTTTCTATAAACCCAATGTTCTCAATAATGTTCCAAGGACGTCCCCTCCAGTTCAAGATACATCAATATCATTATAAACAATCATTTGTTTGCTACTTTCATTTTTCAGGATGATGGACCAGATTTCAGTGATGATGAATTAGAGGTAAAGTAACAAATCTATAATTATTATTTTGTTTTTTTCTAAGTAACATTCAATCTTTTCATGCCCCCCATGTTCTTGAGGGGGTTGGATGGAATGGCATATAGATTTAGATTGGTGAAACAGTGGAATGTAAGGGTATCTGTGTCCTGTGGACACATTTGTAGTTTAATGTTGTATCAAATTTGTCTGCAGGCATAGCTCAATTGGGAGGGCATTAGATTTTTAATCCAGGTTTGATCCTCGAGTGAGGCGCAGTTTCTGCATGACAAAAAAAGGTCAAATACTTAAGATCACTTGCCCTTTATCGCTGTGTGTTTGGTATTCCATTAGGGACTTTAGATTCTTGCATGTGAACAAGCTATCTAGCTAGTTTGAATGTCGGTAGTTCTACTCAGGTGTCTGTTTGTGACTGAAATAAGGCTTTCCATCACGGTCAGTTTGGAAAATGCTGGGATCAGTGGGCATTAAAGGAGAAGCCCGGAAAACCGCTGCACATGCTGTTGGCAAAGCTGCAGAGAGTGCGTCCAGTTGGCTCTGGCTAAGACACAATGAACCAACCTTGTAGCCATCATAGACTAGGTAGTACCTGATCAACACTACCTGCCCTACCATATAGAGGATGTTCCGAAATAAGAGACGAAACATCCAGTGACAGATGAATACTTGGCTGATGACGTCTACGTACAGCAGTATATCTGTATTTTTTACACCAATGTCTCCCTCCACCAGTAAATCTGGACAGTTAATATATGACCTTCACAGTGTTGTTGTGACTTAAAATCCAATAAACAAATATTTTCAAGTTGCATTACAGAGCAAGAGTTTGTTGTGGATTGATAGTTTTTATCCAAATTTATTCATGTACTCCTAAGATTTTTTTTCTGCTTTAATTTATTCATTTACTCCCGATATTATTTTCTCAAAAATCACGAGACTAATCTTTGGTCCATTCTTAGTTTCTTTCAAAATTTAAACATTTCGCCAATGTCTGATTTCTATTTTCTTTAAAAAAAAATTGATTATTTATAGCTTGAACCCAGAAAACCAAGGTCACGACCTTCCAGTTTAATAGGAGTTGAAATTCCACACTCGCCAAGGGAACGAGCGGAATCCGACGTTGTACCCCGACCTATTAAACCAAAAAGTAAGATACATTTCATAAATTTTCTTTGTATCATATACTTCTCAAAGTAAAGATAGTTATTAAAGGGACTCCACTGAGGTTTTTTCACATGATTGGACTGAAAATATTTTTTTCCAGAAATGTACTATTTGATGAAGGGTAAGACCACTAATCTTTATGCAAAATTTCAGATCATTTGCGCACTTCGTTTTTCCAATACAATTATTCAAATTGTAAAAAATGACCCAAAATGAAAAGCGTTTAAACGTTTTTCACTCAAATCGGGCTACGAAAAGCATAAACACACGATTTTCAATTTATTTCAAAGTATATTTCTTAACTATCTTTGCATAAATTTCTGTTTAAAGTTCCCCAACTGATTTATGTAAGAATTCTTATGTTATATATTTTTAGGCTTTTAAACCTCAGTGGAGTCCCTTTAAAGTGTTTCGGTATATTTTGTCAAAGTGTCGTTGCGTACATGTGTGGTGCATTGTTTATTGTGTGTTTATTTCTTTTAAAAGTAACCTACTATTTTACAACTATGGTTTATATATTATAAACGATCGATCGTCTCTAGACAGAAAACGCATATATAATTACATTTGAACGAATTGGTAATCAGGTTAGAAAAAATGCGACTTTAACTCGCTTTCATGAAATTTAGTAGTTTAAAAGAGTATGGGGCATTTAAATTTGTAAAATGATTAAAACTAGTTATTTTTATTACATTGGTTGTATTGATGTATAGCTTATTCACCTTGGCCATAAACAAGGTCAGTTTGGAGTTCCTACACATCAAAAGTTCAAGTAGGTGTTGATATAGACGGTGTGTTAAAATATGTCAGTAATAATCTTTGTATAATTTATACTGGAACAGTTTTGCAGACAATATGGCATTTGAACATTAAATTTTTGATTGTAAGAGGCAACTAAATGGGTTCAAATGACTGGAGACTATGCATCTCTTAGCTCCAGCAGGTGAGGTGGTTTTGACCCCCAGGTGTTGCTTTGAAGATTGTAACACCCAAGGTTAGCTAAAATTATCTTTGCTGTTTCGATGCCATATGACCTATACTGTGTTGGTGCGCCATAAAACCAACCAAACAAACAAGCAAACATTATTCAGATAACAATAAGAATATAATTTTCTTACAAGTGTGTGTATTTTTGTATTTTCTCTGCATAGTTGACAGTTATTTGCTTTTCTTCATCAAAGTTCAAAATCTGAAATCTTTTGATCTGGAGCAAACTTGCAATTTTTTTAACATCATTGCACACTATAAAATGCTCTCGAGCGCAGTTTTGAAGAAGGCTTAACAGTGAAATAATGAACTTTCTAGATAATATAACTGAAATACTTAGTTTGAAACAGCACAGAATTGTTTCTCTAACAAATAAATAAAAGCAGAAGGCCGCTTAAACATATATCAGATGAGTAAAATGTATTGAAAGCTTGAAATATTTGAGATTTTCTTGCAGTGTGAAGAGTTCAGATTTTGTATAATGATGATAAACTTTGCTGTGTTTATATATAAAATAAGCCGTGTCGCGACAAAACCAACATAATGGGTTTGCGACCAGCATGGATCCAGACCAGCCTGCGCATCTGCGCAGGCTGATCAGGATCCATGCTGTTCGCTATCAGTTTCTCTACTTGTTATAGGGTTTGTAAGCGAACAGCATGGATCCTGATTAGACTGCGCGGATGCGCAGGCTGGTCTGGATCCATGCTGGTCGCAAACCCATTATGTTGGTTTTGTCGTGACGCGGCTCAAATGTTGTATTTTTGTTGACTATTGTTTTTAGAGCACCACTTAACCCATCCTACAAGGTTCCGTAATAGTCTGAGGAACAGTAAGTGTGTTGTGTATTTTAACTACACATATGTGTCACACATATGTGACACACATATGTGTAATGAATGTTGACATGTGACACTTTTTATATATCAAACACCATTCTCTGTAATGTAAACCTAATGTTTAAACATTCCTAAACCTGTGTATTCTAAAAAAATCTCTTGTACAGTACCACATGGGTACAAAATCCTAACAAAATACATATTCACTTGAGTAAGTTTTCCTATCAGAGAATTCTACTGCAAGTGTTGAAATGTGCTGGTTGTAATTAAGGCACTGTGATGTGTCATGTACAATGTAATCTCTTTCTGTAAAAATGATTGGTATAAAAGTCCAATCAGTCACCCTAATTTTCCTAAAACATCCTCATATACATGTAGCTATAGCTTACCCCCCCCCCCCCCCCCCCCCAAAAAAAAAAACCCCAAAAAACAAAACAAAAACCACCGACAGCAACAAAAAAACCACAACATGTCTTCAGTACCCCTACAATGTTAGGTATTTTGTTTAATAGCTCTTGCCATGAATGTAAAAAAATGCCCTTGTTTCAAGATCTAGTTGCAACTCTTATGACAATGTCATATTGTCAGTATGGAGTTTATGCAATCTTTTACCAATTACCCTACCTCCCCCCCCCCCACCCCAAATATCAAAAATCGACTTGTCTATCTTTCAATCTGGACAAAACCATTCATCATTTTTAGGGGTAATTTCAAAATATGTTCTGATTGAATAACAAACAGTGCAGACCTTAATCAGATGGCACTGGTCACATGGGGTAAAGTCAGTCACTCTAGCATGCCTATGATTAAAGTAGAAGCTGTACAATTGCCAGTTTTAATTGACTTAAAGCTTACCAACAAAAAAAACCTCACCCATTCCCCCCTCTCACCCTTCAAGATAAGAAAAGTAGAACAAACAGGAAATAACAATAAAATATTTTAATTATAATACTTATACAACTCTGTAATGGTTAACATATATGTAATGCATGTTAGTGACTGTCCCATTCTAAAATGGTATAAAGTGCACAGACAGTCTTAGCACAACTTAACTTGTGTAGATAAAAATCTTTGTTTTGCATGACTGTGTTTGAGATAGTCATTAAGTTTAGTATTTATAGTGAAATAAAAAAAGAGATTGTGGACCAGTCTAGAAATTGGTGTCTGTGATTGGTCAGTTTAAATTCTGAATTCAGAATTAACCAATCAGGTACTAGAGTATATGAGACTGGTCTACTATTTCAAGTTTAATAATATTTTCTTTGAAGACAGCATGTATGACACGGAAATAACAGTTCTAGTCATGTTTTGTAGTTTAATAGTTTAGTTGGAATGAATATTTATGCATTTCATGATTTGATATTTTCAATCTCATTATAATCTTTCATAAATATCTTTTAATTATTTTCACCCCATTGCGGCTAAGGGGGTAACCTTTTAAGGGTTGAGGCATCAGAATTGCAACCATAGTTTATCCCTGCGTGGTCGTAAGAGCGACTAAACAGGCCCAAATTTCTGGAGTCGGTGAATCTCTTAGCAAGTGAGGTGATTTTGACCCATGGTGTTGCTATTAATTTGTCTTTTTTTGACTCCATATGACTAAATTGTTTGTTGCGACAAAAAAAGGGAAAAAGAAAAAACCAATATTTTAAAAATTACTTATTGTTTATATTTTTAAAACTTGTAAGTATTTTGGGAAATTTTCTTTTGGTAAAAAAAAAATTTTTACCTTTAAAAAGCAATAAAAAAATTTAATTTTTTTTCCATATAAATATTCTTTTTTTAATTTTAAAATGAAAGGACTTTTTATTTGACAAAATTTTATTTCCTTTAAATAATTCCGTTTGGGTAAGTAAAATGGACGAATGTCATTTGGGTTATTTTAAATTAGGGTCAATGGGTAATAATTTTCTGAAGGAGTTTTGAGCGAAGGCTAAAGAAAGTTTGGGTTTTCTCATTGCAATTGATTTATAAAAGGATTGAAAAAATTTTCCAATTTTTTTTTGTTAAAAAATCTCTTTTAAATTTACATAATTAAATTTTTTAAATGGATTTATCTTTTTTCCAATCTGGACAATATTATTAATCATTTTCAGGGGCAGTTTCAAAATATATACTGACTGAATAGTGAACAGTGCAGACCATAATCAGACGGCACAGAATGTGGCAGCTGATTGGTCTGCACTGGTCACATGGGTAGATTCTGCCAGCTGGTCACATGGGTAGATTCTGCCAGCTGATTGGTCTGCACTGGTCACATGGGTAGATTCTGCCAGCTGATTGGTCTGCACTGATCACATGGGTAGATTCTGCCATCACCTAAAGGCTAAGAGTTAACGGGAAAAAATTTCTCTAGTGATTGGTCTGCACTTTAAACATAATAATTTCCCTGTGATTGGTCTCATTTAAAACTTTGTAATAATGTGGGCGGGTTTGATTCATAGGGGAAAAGATTTAGTAAAATTGGTTATTGTATATGGGAAAATTTTGATGATTGGTTTTAGAAATTTGGGAAAGATGAAGCCATTGTTGATGATTTTGTTTAATTTTCAATTGGTCTGATCTGGCATTTCAATGTATTAAAGTTGCCTTCAGCTTTTCTAACGGTTAAATATGTTATTTTTAGATAAGTTGTTTCATATAATTGTTAAATCAAAAGGGAATTATGTGGGAAAAGAAATTGGGCCCCCCAATAAAAAACAAATTTAAAAATAAGAAACCCTTGAAACTAATTTACCCGGTCTGCTCCTATAATTATGTTAAATCGTAAGCGACGATTTTTTTCCCGATTTTTATTTTAAAAAATAAACTTTCTGCTGCCTATAAATACCCTTTGGATGCTGTTTGAAAAAGGTTTAAACAGTGATAGACACCTTTTCAAGTTAAATTATAAAATATTATTTTTGAAAAACCAAAATTGTTTTTCAACAAAAAAAAAACCCAAGGCTCTTTAAGGGAAAATGACTAAAAGCATAGCATTTTGATGCATCATTCAATGTATATATGCACTTATGATTATTTGTTTCCTTTACCTCCAGTTTTAACATTTCATTCAAAATCTTTTTTTGGCATGTCTTATTTTAAGATAAGCTCAAGGGACATAATTCTACATAGCATAATAACAAGAGTTATTTTCCTTGGTTTTCTTCAAAGATGTCAGTAAGCAAGCAGATATTTAATGCATTTACATGCAGCTTCTTTTTGCTGACTTTAAAAAATATTAAGATTTAAACTTGAACCGTACTAGATCTATGCTAAATAACTTTTACCGGTAATAACAATTCTACTGTTTAATAAATTTGAAAAGTTCATCTGTAATTAAAAAAACTTTAACCGGCTGAACTTAGAACTGTAATTGATCCAACAATTCATTTGAAAATTAAGGTATTTCAATATCAAAAATACTGAAATTGTTATCTATGTCTCTGATATAACCTATACTGTGTCGGTGTGATGTTTATGGCAATTATTGTCATTTCATCCATAATAATTTACAACTTTATTCATAATGGCAAAATGGCATCATCCCAGGTATAAGTTTACGTCGAAATAATGTGATTTACAATCTACTTCTTCAGATTGCATTTTGATAACAAATGCTTTTATATATACTAAACCATTCATATCAGTGAACAATACAAGGTTATATTTATTTAGTTTACTACACTGTAGTTAAATTTAGGCATAAATTTTAATATACATTAAGTCACGATACTTCTTTTGTTAGTACGAGGTAAGTTTATGACATGGTTGCTAAGATACAAAAACAACAACAACAACATTGTTTTATAGTTGCAGGTCTCGGTAATCACACTAGTCACTCGTTGCCAAACTCCCCTCCGGTCACGTCGGGTAATCCAGATCGTAATTCCCTCGAGCCTCCATTACCTCCACGAGGTATAAAGAAACCTCCGGCAGCATTGTCATTGAGTGGCGGAGGTATGGTCGGCGGGAGACCACTTCATGCTAGAAATACGTCAGATCTGGGGTCGGAAATACCGTACGTTTTGCACCGACGTACCCCGTCAGAACCCCCGCCTCGACCTCAACCTCTCGATGCCAGATATACCGTCAACATTCCATATAGTGATGGTAACTATTGTAACCAAATCATAGGCGATTTTATGTAACATACTTGCTTTATGTAATATAGGGCTGTCATTGATAGAAAAGTTTGTATTGATATATCACAAAATATCGACGATACAATGAAAAACATTTAAATATTTGTTATAAATTGGGATTATGGTGTTATGCATGCTTGTATTAGACATTACAAATACTACAAACTAACAGAAAGTTTGTTTTTTCTGTTATTTTTGTCACTGAGATTTTAAAACAGAGTTTAAAGTTCAAGTTAGCCAAGAAAACTGGACAAGTGACTTCTCTTATTAGGCAAAACAGAGAGGTATATTCACTAACAGAAAATTTATTTTTAGCTTGTATCGATATTTGAAGGTGTGTGTTGTTATTGTATCGGATGATGAATATCGATGATATATTGATATTGCGATAATGACAGCCCTAATGTTATAGCCCTGCTTTGGATTACATGCTGTTCAAAATTATAGGATTTCAATATCTGATATGTCTGCCTGCTTAGGTCAATAGAGAGAGCATAAAACTTTTTTTTATCCAGGGGTCTTTTTGGTTTGATCCCCAACCCCGGTAAAGTTTAAAGTGACATTAAAACCCCATCATAGTGAATGTTTAGTTGTATCATTTCTGATTCAGGTACGGTATTATGGAAAAGTTTTCTAGTTTTTATCCTGGGGGGCCGTTTTGTTGACCGGACAGCCCAAAAAGGGGTGAAAACAGCATAAAAAACAAAAACCGTCAATTTTTTTTCAATTTTGTTTCGAAATTTTTTCCTTTCGTTTAATAAGAAAAAAGTTTTTTTATCTTTAAATTTTTGAAGTTTCCCTTTTGGGTTAGCAGCTTAGGAAGTGTGGTTTTTTAATTGCCCTTTGTGCCTGAAATTTTCAAAGGGGGACCTAGGGCTTTCTCCCCACAAAAAAAGTTTGCTATATGACATACGTTTCTGTGAGTAAACCCCAAAAAAAAAAAAAAAAGAAGAAAAGAACTACCTATGGCTATGGTATTTATGTTGAATGACACACTAAATTTTCTTATTTGTTTCCCTATTAAGAATTTTCTAGCAATTTACTAAGTTTGATCTAATTGTTTGATTTATTGCCATATTGAATGTTCAAAAGAATGCTGTAGAATCGGGTAAAACTTTGTGAATATAAATGGAAATAGTTGGTTTACCTCCCTTGAACTAATATTTTTTTCTATTTTTAGCCAAACATGGTGGATCCCAGCCACGGCTTGATATGAGGTATTATTTATTTTATTCATCATCGGTATAATTGTTAAGGTTATTTAGGAACTGTATTTTTGTTTTAATATTATTTTTCATAAAGGATTTTTTCATGAAGGATTTGGAAATAATGATCTCTAGCATTTCAGACTAGATTTTTTTTGTAAGTATTTGCAAGGAAATATCAGTCACATGCTTTAACCCTTTCCCTCATGAGCATATTGTCAAAAATGGCAGTTTTCATTAAAAAGCCTCCTGTTACAAGTTCAAACTGCTATGAGAAATGCTTCAATACTAATGAAACTTGGCACACATGTTGACTGGATCATAGCCTTTAAAACGGCATGCTCAATCTTAAATTTCCTATTACCATGGCGATGGGGGGACGTCTCATTATTGCCAAAAATCACTATTTTGCATTGTTTTTTTCCCCATCCAAACTGATTTCAAAGTGCTGCAACGTCTCAATGGATTGTAATGGAGTAAAAGGCTTTTCAGCGTTAGTTACATGTTACCTTACGATCGACCTGAGGCCATTTTAGCCTGTCACATGTCCAAAATTTTCTTGGCGATGAGGGGGGCTACGGCCCCCCTTCAAACCCCATAACAGAAGGGGGTACATCCCCCTTCTGGCAACCCCCTGATGTAACTTTTTGATGGGGGCGGCACCGAAAAATTGATCACTTTTTTAAACAACATTTCCCAAACGAAAAAACAGTGTTTGGGCCTAAATAGGTTAATTTTTCACTGTTTGAGGCCTAAAAAAAGGGAGGGGGGTAGGAAAGCCATCAAAACAAGCCTTTATGAAGTAAAGGGTTAGAATGAGGTCCTTCCACCTCCTTTATGTATTTATAGAGTTGCTTACTTAAGATAACAAGTTTTTCAACTGATGTGAATGAACTTGTAAATTGAAACGCTACTAGAAGAAAAAGGGCCAAATAAAGATAGTAGTTTTCTTAATTTCTATTTGATCTTCTAAGAAATAAATTAATTAATCAATTCAATAGTTATGTCATTATGTAATATTAATTATTTAATAATGTAATATGCAAGTAACAAAAATAAAGTGCATGTACTGGCTGTCATCACAGATCTTGTGGCAGATTATCCAAGGTCTTGAACAATGGCTGAGTCATGGAAATTTTAGATATGAGTGATCAAGATTTGTAAAACAGACAGATTATTTACACTCATTATCAGTTATTTTTTATTTCACATAACTATATTGTGTAATTGTTTGGAAGGACTTAAAAGTAAAGTTCATTCTAGTTTGTTTTCTTTTGTTACAGTTTGTCTGACAAACCTGCAGTTCCACCGAGACCTAGAGCTTTATCAGGCAGTGGAGGTAATTCAGTAGTTTAAGCTGGACTATATAATGTATATGGGGAGCTGTACTGCTCCCCCACCCTCGGCAGTGTTGGCGTCCGCCATCAGATTTCAGATTTAAATTTTTGTGCAGTAAAATTCATGTATATTTTACTAAAACTTCTTTTATTTCTTAAGATATCAACTTCAATTTCAAAAATATACTCCATGCAATGTGGCAAGGTTCATAACTAGTAGCAATATTTAATAAAGCAATATTTCCAGAATTATCTTCCCTTGAACTTAGAATTTTTCTTCAAAAAGGTTATTTTTTACTCTTAATTTTTTATTTCATAAAGGATAGATGCCAAACTTAAAATATATGATTTTTATCATCAACTTACTTATTGGCCATTAGTCTGATTAATATCACTTGTTCAAATACTGCTACTTTTACGGCTCATGAGATGTGTATTTGATATACACTTTTTAAAAAAAAAAAATGTATGTTTTTTAGTGAAAATGTACCTTTGATAAATAACATTAAATTGCAAGCCATTACAAAGGAAGTAATTTATCTTCAGATTTTATCATTTTCAGATTTATCATCCAATAAAACCAATTCTCCAGATGTCGAGACACCACCTCCAATCCCAGCTCCCAGAAAGGTAAACAATAAATGAGCCCCGCCATGACAAAACCAACATATTGCGTTTGCGACCAGCATGGATCCAGACCAGCCTGCGCATCCGCGCAGTCTGATCAGGATCCATGCTGTTCGCTTACAAACCCTATTACAAGCAGAGAAACTGATAGCGAACAGCATGATACCTAATCAGACTCTGTGGATGCGTAGGCTGGTCTGGATCCATGCTGGTTGGAAACACACCATGTTGGTTTTGTTGTGACGCGGCTCAAAAAAAAACTGCTGCATATACATGTATATACAGTAAATATTTTAAAAGTGTTAAGTTTGATTGACAGATGTCATTATCAACCAGAATTTTGACCTTAATTAAGCAGCATACATTTTTACCATGTAAGAAACCATATGTTCAGTAAAACTTCTGTTGAGTAGTACTCTTTGTAGACAAAAGATTTTAAGTCACTGCTGAGAGATGTAACATGAAGCCTTAAAGGAGCTCACCTGAGGTTAAAAATTCTAAAAACATAAAATTTGAATTTCGAAAATTAATTAACTGGGGCACTAAAACTATAAAGATTTGTAAAAGATTACGGCCATTGTCTTACAGACTATTCTTTTTGATATTGATATTAACTAACTCTAGCATGCAGGGGAAATAATTTAGACGGTACCAAAATCAGTTTGTTTTAAATCGTAAAATAGCTATATTGTCTGATTGCATAAAAGAAATGAAAAGGATGTTAGGGTTGCAAGGAGGGGGGCGGGCAAGGGTTTAGTTGTTCGTTAAATGAACTTTTTTTCCATTTTGCACCTTTACTGTAATTTCTTGGTTGTAGCCAAAAAAAATGGGATACAGGCGTTGCGAGGCTCTGTTTGACTGTGATGCTGATAATGAGGATGAACTTACATTTAGAGAAGGGGAGATAATCATTTTATTGAGGGAAGAAGAGGAAGAGTGGTGGGTAAGTTGTCTCCCTTTATTTGCATTATTGTTTCTTATGAAGAAATTAAAATTATTTTCAGGAAAGAGAAATTATATTAAAAGAAATATAACTGGAATAGTACAAGAGCTTGTTTATAGACAGTTGGAAAAAAAAGAAAACAAAAACAACAAAACAAATGAAAAATAGGCAAGAATTTTAGAGATATAACTGAAAATGAAGTCGAACCTGACAACATAAGTTAACAATTGGAAGAAACTCCTGCTCAAATATTTGTGTGTTTTGCATTTTTGAAATAACACCTTTTCTTATTGCTGATAGGCCTTTCTTCACATATGTTTCAAATAATTTGGAGAAAATGGTACTTTCTTGTTGTAAAATATATTTGTAATATAAGTAGTTTTCCTAAATTTTCTTATAATAATTCAAAACAATACTCTAACTTATTTATTTTAATCACATATGAATATATCTGAAGACATAATATCTGGTATATTACTTTTTTGTTTGTGGAAGCTGTCATTATTTCTTTATTGATTTATTTATTCCCATTTATTTATTTGTATTAATTCATTATTTAATTATTCATGTATTCATTCATAGGGGCATTCATGGCCAAGTGGTTAAGGTTGTTGATTTCAAACCACTTGCCCCTCACCACTGTGTGTTCGAATCCCGACAGGAACGTTCTATTCTTTCATGTGAAGACGTTTTCAAGCTAACTTACAGAACTTCGGTGGTTCTACTCGAATGCCCGCTCATGCCTGAAACAATGCACTTTGACATAAGGGCACCAGATGTTTTCCTCTAGCAGTTAAGCTGAAAAGTCGCCATATAGCCCATTCTGTCGTGGTGCAACATATAACTCAACATTCATTCTCATTCATGTATTTCTATATTTCAGGAAGGAGAGATAGAGAATCAGCCACATAGGAAGGGCCTGTTTCCAATAAGTTTTGTAAAACCACTACCAGACTGACTGGCAGATATATAATTGCCTCATATCAAACTTGTATCTTCTAGTCCAAGGTCCACCAGTTGGTTAAATCACTACAAAAAAATGAATGTAGATCAGTCTTAAACTCCAATCATATAACTACAATCATATGATTGGCTGATTTCAAAACTACAAATTTGAAATTCGACCAATGACAAAGGTTTATTCAGAAAATTGCTCCTGTAATTGTAAAGTTCATGTATATGGGACTTATTGGACTTTCATTGAATATATACATTTATTTACATATGCAAAAAGACACACCCTACAAATATGATATTATTAGACTGTCTGTATAGCATGATAAGGTAAATTATCACGCATAACAATATTTTATCACATAAATTCACATACTAATTTTCTTTGACAGTAATCTATTTCCTGATTACTGGTTGCCTGGCTACTTGTTACCTAGCAGCTTGTTACCTGGCTACTAAAAGTGTTACCTAGCAACTTGTTACCTGGTAACTTGTTACCTAGCAACTTGTTACCTGGTAACTTGTTCCCTAGCAACTGGTTATCTAATAACTTGTTACCTGGCAACTTGTTGCCTAGAAACTTGTAACCTGGTAACTTGTTATTTGGCAATTTGTTACCTGGCTATTTGTAACCTAGCAACTTGTTATCTAGCAACTTGTTACCTGGTAACTTGTTGCGTAGCAACTGGTTATCTAATAACTTGTTACCTGGCAACTTGTTGCCTAGAAACTTGTAACCTGGTAACTTGTTATTTGGCAATTTGTTACCTGGCTATTTGTAACCGAGCAACTTGTTACCTGGCAACTTGTTACCTGGTAACTTGTTACCTTGCTACTTGTTACCTTGCTACTTTTTACCTGGCAACTTGTAACCGAGCAACTTGTTACCTGGCTATTTCTCCGATTATCATATGTTATTTCTCCTGCATCCACATGTAAAAATTCATTAAGACTTTATAAAAAAATGTTCATGCAATTTTAAAATCATGGCTTTTAGATATTTGTTGAAGGTATTTATAATAATAACACATCTGTTGATACTTTTACTGCATTTTCACTGTAAAAAAAACAGCTTTTACCAAGCTGTAGATATATATTATGCAATTTAGTAATTGCCATGCTTCTTTACTGGCATAATGTTAATTTAACTGCAGATCTAGTGTTCACACATTAATCACAAGTTTGCATTTATTCATTATTTATATGTACCTTTAAAGCAGCACGCCTCAAGATTCATGTCAATTTTCAACAAAATTTTAGAAATGTATTTAAAAGTAAAATATTGTTAGGTGAATAAATAAACTAATTATCATATTGCAATCGGCACTTATAATCCAAGAAAAATTACCAAATAGTGGTCAAAATATGCAAAACCAGCCCTTACTGCATTAGTAACGCAGTAGAAATATGATGATAAAATACTGCAAAATCAGTCTTAAATCGCAAATAACATGTAAAATTAATATCGGATCTTGAATGTTTTTACCTTTCTTAAAATATAGGTACATTTTTCTCAAAATTGATTTTCTTTAAATATTTTGGCTCATCTGGAGGCGTGTAGCTTTAATGTCAAGTTTGTTACAATGTTTTACATTGTGTTAGGGACCAATATAGATATATAAGCATTCATGGGCAAGTGTTGTAATTTAACAATTGACTTAATTATCGTTTAAACCAAAGACCCATTTGATATTAAAGTGACGTTATCCTCATTTTGAGCTTGTCTGTTTTGAAAAAGTCGAGCTCTTATCAGAGTTATGGCCCTTTAAAAGGGATGCCAATTTTACACAAAAATCAGTGGATTTCGAGGTCGCAGGACCACTTTTGTTAATAATGTAAATCTCTATCTCCAAATTTGCTATCGTCTATGGTCAGATTGTATTTATTTAGACCGCACCGCCTTTCAGATATGTTCAGTTATTGTCACTATTATAGTAAGCCAATGAACGAAAGCGTTACATATACCGACCAATCGTAACATAGCATCTTTCTGTATTTGAAGAAAGAAAAACAAAAAGTTCTTACGCATATTTAACAGGTTTTATGGTTGAATGATTTTTGGCTAAGTTATGGACCTTGAATAAAAATGTGTTTTGCCCTGTTGATGATTGTTATGTCTTTAGCTACTCAGTAGCTGCAACATGCAAATAGCTGTTATCGAGCGACACATCTGATCACCCTTGTTATCATCTGAACATTAACAATACCTTGACATTGATATAGAATTTTCTTTGAGTTATGTGGGCTATTGATTATACACATGAACTAGACAATGAAAATTAATGCAATTGTGGCAAAATCTAAAGTTATTTAAACTTTGATCTGTACACCAAGTATTTACTCTTGGATGGGCATAATGTCACTTTAAGAAAAAATAGGTCATATATTTTTTTGTCATCAATGGGACCAAAATTTCTCAAATGACAATGTGTAAGTCTTTCTTATGATCATATTTTTGTTTGTAAACTAATTTACTGCCATGAGTTTAAATCTATTTTTTTAGGTTTAAACATATATATTGTGTTTCATCTTTGCATAATCTACTACACTACTAACACAGTAGGCATTATAAATAGGAAAAAATAATTTATATAACATGGTGATGTGTCACAACAGTGGTTCGGAGAAATACTAGGATCTGGTACACCCTGGGTCATATATATCAATGTTAAACCTTTGTTATGAGTAGGTCCTAATCATATTTTAAGCTAAAGTTTGAATAGATTTACTGCAAAAAAAGCAGACTGTTTTCAGAGCAAAAAAGGTTAAAATGTATCATTTCAATTTCTTTCATCTATATAATGTTTTTGAAAACAGATTTTGAAATATAAGTAAGCTGATTTTCTGTTATTTTCTTGAGGCATGCTGCTTTAAGGTTTAATGTGTTTGTGGGACTGAAAAGCCAACCAAAAAAATATATATAACAATAACTAACAGAACATTGAATTATTTAAATTGTGGATTTAAATTGTGGGGGAATCAATTCTAACAAAGTATTGTAGTTATTTGATGATATTCATGTTAGTTCTGGTAGACATGAAAATGTTCAATTTTTGTTTGTTTATTATAGATATACTTTATAGAATCACTTTATTATAGATATAGATTAATTATAGATATAGTTACTGACTTTGGACAAAATTACAAGTAAGCTATCAATGTTAAATTGAGTGTCAAATCTATAAGCATAAATAATGAACAATTTTATTAAATATCCCTCTTGAACAATATTCTTAGGGGTTTTTTGTGGACTTTGGGCTCTGTGATCATATGGCAGAATCTCAAAGCAGATGTGGAGTCTGAAATTATGGTACGTAATTACACTGCTAATGGGAAATATAGCTTTAAATAATGTCATCACCTAAGTGAAATAATGGCCTAAGTCCTATAAGAATTTTATAGGAGTTAGCTTGTTACAGCTTTAAGGTGATGATTTGTCATTAATAGAGGTTCCGCCACTTAGGGCTAAATGTCTCATAGTTCATCTGATCACTGTTCTTGAACAACTGTGAGGTTGAATCTCTTTAACTTGTGGATGTTGACTTGTTCTTATTAAACATGCTATCCAGCTATCTTGTGGTGAAAAAGGTGGGTGGTTATCACCTGCAGTGGTCATTACCTGCGACCCATACCCACAGTGGTCATAACCTCCGACCCACACCTACAGTGGGTTGTAACCTCTGACCCATACCCACTTGATCATTACCTCTGCCCCATACCCACCACAATGGTGAAAACAACCACCCTATACCCTCCAGTTGTTATAACATCCACCCCACACCCCCAGTGGTTATGAATTCCACCCCTTAACCACCAACTTACTTGAGCCTGAAATGATATAATGAGGTACACATTGTTAAGCTGGAAACTTTCCGCATGACTTCATATATTTGTAACTTTCGCATGTCTTTTAAACAAGCATAAAAGAGAATAATACCAAAGCTTTAATTACCTGATTTTTTATCTTCGCCCTAACCAAAGAGAGACTGTTGTTAACATAGATAGTTGTTAATTGATGCTATATTTCTCTAATGAAATACATAGATAAGTATTTGATGTAGATATGTGCAATATGGTATCAGGGAATACTATGGTATATAGAGTAGTTTGTAAATTAAGTCCCAGCTTATATAAAATGTCTGTAAAAGGAACTGTCTATTTTTGTAATGAAGTCTTTTGCTAAGTTTCAGTATTACTTGCTTTAATACAAAAACAAAATAATAATTGTAAGAAAAAAAAATGGCATCTTTATTGTGTAATTGTTATATAGTTTGTACAGTGTGATTTTATGGATGTGAAGTTTGGGGTTTTGGGGACAGAAAATGATAGTTTCCTATCATTTAATTTTGATGCTTTAGTGTCATAAAGTTATAACTTATTTGACTGTTTATATACAATATCCTTTTGACATTATCCTTTTATCATTATATGATTAGGTATTTAAAAGCAAGTTTACAATATAAAAAACATAAATTGCATTCAAGTAAATTTAATCACAGTCATGGAAAATACACATTGTTGTGTATATAAGTTTACTATCTGAATTCACTTCTGTTGTTGTTGTTGTTGTTGTTGTCATATAACAATGAAATGATATCAAACAATGAAATAATAATGTCATGTATTGAGATAATGTCATGTAACCAGTTGATGATGTAATACAATTGTTTAATGTCGACATTTTATGATGTCATACAACAAGTTCATTGTCTCATACAGACAGTTAGTAATATCTTATAAGCACTTAATGATGTCATACATTGCTAATAATGTCATACAGTAAGATTATGAAATGAAAATCTTTTTGTGATACCTTTCAGTCGATGAGTTAATGAAAAGTTAGAAATGTCAGACAAGTCAATGTCGTGAAGCTTTCTATGATGTCATACAAGTCAATTGTTAGGTTAAATTGACAGTAATGTCATACAATCAACATTTCTATGTCATACAAGTAATCTGTTAGGTAGAAAAGCAGTGAATAATGTCATACAATCAACATTTCTATGATGTCATACAAGTAATCTGTTAGGTAGAAAAAGCAGTATATAATGTCATACAATAAACATTACTATGATATCATACAAGCAATTTGTTAGGTAGAAAAAGCATGTAGTAATATCATACTATCAACCTTTCTATGTCATACAAGTAATGTGTTTGGTAGAAAAAAAAGCAGTGAATAATGTCATACAATCATTTGTTATTGTCATACATCAGAACTCAGTGAAACAATCTAATCAAAGCCTTGTATTCATTATATACATTTATTTTTGTGCAGAAATAGATGCATTTATTGAACAACTATATAATAGTATAAAAGGAGTTATATGTGTAAAACAACATTATATTAATAATTTTAAAACAATTTATTATTTGTATCATTGTTATTTCATTATACATGTACAACCCTGTGTTCACAAAGATTTAAGGATCAAGATCAGGATCAAATTTAAAAACTGAGAT